AACTGTGTAGTGGAGACTGTCATGTCCACATGTGAGGATATGGGGCAGTGTGCATCTCTACTTCCAGTTTGAGAATGGACTCCCATTGAAACTATTGAATGTGTCATGACAATGGGATGCTAGACTCTCTGCCACTGTCCATGCCCACGATGATGGACTTACGACTATTTATGAGGAACTATGCTGTTGTAACAATATGGGAGAACTCAGTGTGTAAGTGGAGACTTTTTGGAGGCAGTAGGGGAAATCCTAGGACCTATGGAACTGTATCATAAAATGGTAATAATAATAATTGTGTGTATATATGTATAATTTCATCTTGAGAATTTTTTTTTTACAGAGAGGAAGATCTTCCATCTGCTAAACAGGGAGCACTATGGGAAACTGGACTGCATGGACACAAGCTGGTGCCCATATGGGATTACAGCTCTTTGCAAAGTGAGGAATTTAGCTACTAGGCTACTGTGCAGGGGCCCAAGAATATTTATTTTTATTAGGTGCTTTTAAAAACTCTTTAAAAGTTTAAAGTTAGGACCAACACTATAGCATAGTAAGCTAAGCCTCCATCTGTGGTGACAACATCCCATATGAGCATTGGGCAAACAGAGAAGTGGTGCATGTGCTATGGAACTGAATCAGGAACAGGGACAATGAGGGATCAACAGGGAAAGGAATAGTTTATTAAGCAAAAAGAGAGGGAACTCTCAGCAAGGCCAAGAGGGAAGCAATGATATGTATAATGAAGGTGCCCAGGATGCAGAATCCCAGGGGCTGTGAGTAAGTTGGTACCAGGTTAGTCACTGAAGACCTACTCATTGCTGGGGAGTTGGGGTCTAGAGTTGGGTAGGTTCATTTGTACCTGTACCTTGTTTTGTTTCCAATTTTTCTGTCTCATTTTTGAATAGTGAGCCATTTTGTTCCAGTTGGGTTCATCTTATGTCAGGCTGGTATTTTCCTCTGCACGTCAGACTTGAGCCCTGGTCTACCTACATCAGACTTGAGCTATCTCCTCCTGGCTCTGTCACCTGGACTATAAATAAGAATAAATAGGAATACATATATCTCCTCTCCTCTCCTCTTACAGGAGGCTGGGAAACCATCAATAAAAACCTCTGGGAGCCATCAAAAAAATTTCTGGAGCTTTGTCTCAGGATGGAACACCCTGTATGAGAGGTGGAGCATGGTGCAATATAATTCATGCAAGTCCCCTTCTATTCCTCTGTTCTTTGTGAGACTGTCTTATTTTCTACTCTCTTTATTTTGCACTCCCCTTATTTTCTGCAGTCCCCTTATTTTCTATCCCCCGGGTCATTTTTAACCTTTTTGCTTGAGAATCATTTCAACCTTTTCCTCCTATGTAGGATATGATGACCAGTGTCATCATAAGTACAAACCACAGCATCCAATGCTTTGGGGCAGTATCACAGCTTCAAGGTCAAATGAATTCTAAGCCTGATTTGCTGAAGACTTGTGAGAATCAGTATTGAATAAGCTTCTTGGACGTCACTATCGTATTTTCTTTTACAAAACTTCAAATAGTTGCCTTCATCCCTCTGACATATGTCTTCATTGGGGAAATTTGGGGAAAAGTGAGAAAGCTTACTCAAACTTAGGGAACTAGCCAAATAGGTCATTAGAAAGTGAGAGGTTCTTAGACTCATCAGGCGTGAGAGCAAACAAAGAATGAATATAGAATTTCCATTTCCCATATTTTAAGCATATAAAACCATTTTTGTGGATGATATTCCACTGTTAAAAGAAGCTCCATGGCCTCATCATTGAACTTAGAACCCAAGTCCCACTGTTTTCTGGATTTTAAATTTGGAGAATTAATTCAGACTTTTTGTGCCACATCTGCTTGTCTTTACTTATCACATGCTTTTTAACCCTTGTTTAAAACTATTTATTTTCATTTTATTTAGTTAAGAAGCATAAAGCATCAGAGAGACAGAAAAACAGAGAGATTTTTCATCTTTCCCTTTCTTGACATTTTATACCACTTCTAGTAGCAGGATGCACCATTATTTATAACAAGTGGATAAAGGAACTGATGGAAGCTTAAATAAAAATCGTTATATCTGACTTTAGCAGTGCATCATCCCCCCCACACACACCAAACACATACACACAATGTTTACAGTAGCCAAGGCTCACCCAGGCTGGCACCAAGCGCCTGGAAGTCAATCCAGGTCAACCACATGGGTGTCAAAGACTTCCCAGGGTGCCCATCAGCAGGAGCCTGGATTGGAAATAGAGCAGCCAGGAATTTTGATACGCAATGTAGTTTTCCCTAGCAAAAACCTCACGGCTGAACAAATCCCTGCCCCGTATGTATTCATAAAGGGGTAGAGTTTATAATATCTAACACATGTGCTTCATATAATAAATCATAAATAAACACCCAACTAGGCAATCTTGACAAACTAATGATTATGCTTTCTTGCCTTAATCTGGCATTCATGTGCCCTATCCTTTAAATTCCAACTCATCTTTCTCATTTGTCATTATTCCTTCATCCTGCTCCTCTTTTACAAGTATTTCAGCAACACTGAATTTCTTTTACTATATCTTAGCATGCCATGAAAAATTCTGTGCACTTACCTCTGTGTTCCTTCTGCATGAAGTGCTCCTCTCCCCAGTTTTCTTATTCACCTTCTTAGCTATGCCTTAGCTATGCCCTAACACCTCCCCCATTTCCTAAACAGATTGATGATTCTTTTCCATGTACTCCCACGAGAGCTTCATTAGAGCATTGCCACCTCTTGAACCATCTAACCTAGTGAGCACACTTACCTCTGCTGAGGCTGATGATTTGCCTAACGGAAGAAAATGTTTCTCATTCACCTTTGTGTATATTCACCCCCAATTCCTGCATTCTAAAGCATGTTCCATGCTTGCTTGAATGTGTCCATAAGTAAATGGTAGCACTCAGAAATGGTAGCACTCAGAAACTCAGAAATTTGTATTTATTTGGGAGCCACAAGAAGGTGTGTAACTCAGCTGAAAACTAAGTAAATCCTCATTTGGGTAGTAAATTTTAAAAGCTACATTTATATCAGGATAAGACAGAACAGCTCCCAGGCCACAAGATCCATAGACATCACTTGGCTGTTCCATGATGGAGACAAGCGGGTCTGCTTGAGAAGAGTGGATTAGCTGTCATACGCTGAGAAGAGTAAAGATCACTGGGGCAAGAGTTGGTCATGACACTTCAGAGAACTTTCCAGGGGAAAGGAGTCAGGTTTCCAGAGTTCAAATCCAACCATGGAGCCTCGTTGCATCATGGTCTCATGCTGGTAAGTGTTCATGCTGCAGTGCTCTGTCACCTTTATGCTCATTAGACAAGCATTTTGTTCCTAATCTTTCCCATTATAAATTTCAAGCTGACTATTGATCATGTCCTGGCTTTCCAGATGGACTCCTGTAATACAAAATTCAGAGAGGAACTTCATAAGGAACCTTCTACACCTTCAAAACTGTGGACCCAGTCCAGTCATTCTTTCTTTACATGACATTTTTACACCACTTCTAAATGCAAGAAGCACCATTATTTGTAACAAGTGGATAAGTGAACTGATGGAAGCTCAAATAAAAATACTGTTTTTTTCTGACTTTAGCGGTTCCTATCATGAACACAGCTGAAATTCTTATCATGGTTCTGTCTTCTAAATGCCCTGCAAGTTAACTTGGGCAATGTGTTATGGGACCTAAGAACACTGTATAATTTAATACATAAGTTTCTGAGGTTGGGCTAATGAAGCTTTTCAGTTTTGAAGAAACACAGATTGACTCATGGTGTCTTAAAAGGTGGCATTTAATAAGAAGGAATGTCAGGATTGCAGGGAGGCCTGGTAGGCAGTGGGAGAGTCAAATCCTAGCAAACAGGCAAAAATTCCACTTTGTCCATTGGCATCAGTAGTTTGATAGTCTTCACTGTTGTGCGTCATACATTGACGGGCCTCTATTTCTGACTTTCTATACATGCCCTTCAGTTTTTGTTCTGAATACTTTTAAGAAATAGCTCTTTCTGAATACTCAGATTTCTGGAAAAGGAAACCCACATTAGAACTCAGGTGTTCAGGCGGAGTCTTCACAACATGCCCATGTGAATGTTCCTAGTGGCCACCAGATTCCCCTTTGGTGCCATCCCATCCAGTCACCTTTGATAATGTGAGGAATCTGAATGGTTGGAAGAAGGTCACCAAGGCCTCAGGTGTCCCAGAGGTGTAAACCCAGGGCAGGTCTCCTTGGAAGGAGCTGTGGGCTGGTAAAAACCTGTAGGTATCACGAGTGGAGCTGGATGATTAGTGCAAACAACTGTTGAGGTCAAATGCAGGTAAGGGGTTGAACTACACCAGAATCTTATGAGATCCTTGTAAAACTACAACACACTGGATCCTGCACCCTCCATATCAGTTTAGAAGTCTTAAGAAAAAGGATGAATGAATAGATATACAAGGGGTCTTCAAACATTTCAGGAGAATGTCTATTATAAAAAAAGCATCCATGGGCTTCAAAATGTTTGTACAAAATTATCTTTTGATCAACTTTTGAACATTACTTGTATATATGTGCATTCATTTTTTTTGAAAGAACTCTCTTCACTTCAGCACTTCTGTTTTATAAATGCTTTACTCATACTTCCACTGGGATACATCAGAATTTCCTTGAACATTTATTAAGAGAATCAAGATTTCCTTGTTTCCCAAGGCTCTATGCTGTCACAAGATCAAAGCTGAAGTTGCTTAAGAAATTTGAGAATATATGTATACACACACACACACACACACCCCAAGGCACATACATGCACACCAACCCACACACACCCCAACACACATATACACACACAGAAGCACTTCCAAAAGTTCATGGAAAATGGAAGTGAAAAAATACTTTCAAAATCCAAGCATAGCTTTTTCATAATACACATTCTCCATAAACTTTGGGAGTTGCATGTGTAACCTAACAATACTACCAAAGGAAATACACACATATTTTTTCCTGGGTAATATTATCTTTATTACAAAACAGGTATCTTATGTTGAGGTAACATTTCAAATAGCAATTGGCAAAAATCAACTGAATCCTATGTACAGAATTTTTCTATGTGCAAAACATAGAAAGATAGATTTCTTAGCACAGCACATGAATTGATTTTTGGAAAAACTAAAGCTGAAGTTTCTCTTTGTGAAAGGAGATTTCATTCCAAAATTCTCCCCTACCTCTTGTCCATACCCATGGTAAGTGAGGTAAGCTCCACGAGTTCCATGAAACATCACTGAGGAGCATAAATGGCTTTTCAAAGATTGCTCCTCCTAAGTACCTCCCTACTACTATTTGAAAGTGTTTCCACAAACTAAAAATCCAGTCATGTAGAACTGACTGATATTTATCTCAAGCACAGAATTCATCTGTCTCCCATGTGGGAATTTTATGCAACTGTCCAACTCCTTTCTGTCGTGAAACCCATACTAATTCTCCAAGCCAAAGTTGGTCACCCTTTCCTTTCATATGGTAGGGTTGTACTTCAGTTATGATATTGACCACACTGGACTGTGATAAGCCTTGCCTTCCTCATGTGTACCCTAACTTCTCCACTTTAGATTTTTTTTTTCTTAGTCTGCTCCTCAGGCACAAGAAGCAAGTCTTCAGTTTCCATACATCGCCAGCACCATGGCCAGTACTCAATGCGAGGCTACTTCAAAAAGTCTATGTGCAATGGAATTCAAAGATAGGTTTATTTGGGTACAAAAATATTTTGACATCCATATACACAAGGGAATTTTAAAAGTCTATGAAAACCATTTACGAAGAAAAAAAATTGTGTGCAGATTTCAAGCATTTTTGCAACAAAATTAACTTGCCTTTGAATTCCATTGCCCATAAACGTTGTAAAGTTCCTTGATAGAATCTCAATCATTGTTCACCAGATTAATGAGCTAGAACCATTCAATTGTGAACTCCTAATGCTCCTCTTCCTTTATTTCCAGTCACATCAAGGGTGTTCTGGGGTCATTTTCCACATTTTGAAACCTCTATGGACAGCTAACCCCCTGAAAACAAGTGTCATACCAGTAATTCCTTTAAGAAAGAAATGGTTTCTGGATAGTCTTCTGATTAAAACACCAATAAATTATAATTACAATGGTTTCTTTAACTTGCAAGTCCCAAAGAGCCCTTTCTGAAAGCCACTCCTTGAGGAAGCTAACACTAATAGCCGTCCTGGCAGTCATTGTCATCTTGGTCCCCGATGGGTTTATTGTGATAAGTGTCAACTGTCAATTTTCGGCTTTCAATCTCCATGTTTTTGGCCTGGCTGTCCTCCTCGCTGCTGGATGTGCTGTCTGTAGAGTCGCTGTCTTCTTTGGACTTGTTGATGTCTTGGGAGTCGCTGGCTCCCTCTTCGTCTGACTGGCTGTCCTGCTCCGACTGACTTTCCTGGCTCTGGCTCTCCGTAGATGCACTCTGGGACTCCAGGCCCTCCTCACTGGAGCTGTTCTCGTCCTCCTCCGTGGTCTCAGGGCTTTCTTCTGAGGATGTGAGCAGGCTTTCATTGGATTCGCTGTCAGCTTGCTCCTCTTGGGATTGGCTTTCTGAACTGGAAGGGACAGTCGGGTCATCCTCTGGGCTGGAGTCGCTGTCCTCCTCTTCCTCCTCCGTGCTACTGCTGGTGGCATCAGGGTTATCCCCCCTGGACTCACTCCCTCCCTCTTCCTGCGACTCGCTACTGCTTTCCTGAGACGGGAGGTCTTCCTCTTGACTGGACTCGCTGCTGGTGTCTGCCTCATTGTGGCTGTCCTCCTGAGACTGACTCTCCCTACTGTCCTCCTGGGACTCACTTCTGCTGTCTTCATCCGATGGGCTGAGGTCGGAGTCCCTGGGGTTGGGGCTTTCGGTGGAGAGAGTCTCCACCTCCTCTTGCGTGTTACTGTCCTCCAGCTCATCCCTGTCATCTTCCTGGGAAATGCGGGACTTCCGGCTAAATTTCCTACGGTTGTACTCCACTGCCTGGCTGTGCCCTGCATCCCAAGCACTCACGTCTTTGCTGTTCCCATGGGAATACTGGGACTGAACTCTGGCACTGACTGTTCTAACCTTGCCTCGGTCGCTCAGGATGCTGTCCGGATCATCACTCTGCATCCCTTCATCATCATACTCAGAGCCGTCCCCGGGGCTGCTCCACCCCTCGCTGCTGCCCCTCACCCAGAGCTCCTTGCTCTCACTGTCTGGAGTGGAGTCCTCTCCTTCCAGCCTGCTGTGGACATCGTCAAGGTCCTGGCTGTCACTGTCTTCCCTGGATTGTGTGTTATCAGCCGAATCTTCCTCACTGTCTACTTCAGAATTTCCGTCTTCCGGTCTCTCTTTGTTTCCTGGGCTACTTTCTTCATCACCGAAGGTGTCATCTCCACTCTCATCTTCGTCATCTTCTTTAGCATCTCCTGCCTTGCCTGCGCTCCTAGGAACGCCACCAGCTGGTCTATAGAGGTATTGGCCTCCGTCCGAGAGCAGGATCTCCTCCGAATCAGTAGTGTCGCTGGAGACCTCATTTACCTGCAGTTTTGGGATTAAGAAATGCAGTCAATACTGCAAGAGCTGACATAAAGGGAATTATGCAGTGTCTACATGTGCTTCTTCTGCCCCCACCCTTCCCTCTTCTAACCCAAGGTCAATTTCACTGCTTAACAACATCCCTGCCCAAACCTGAACAGAGGAAAAAAGGGGGAAAGTGATCAGAACTCAAGCCGTCAACTCAGTTTTCTATAGGTAAATTCACTCAACGCTGCAAAACATCTAAAAGCTTTATATGAAACTCATATAATGCCATGTGATGATTCTCTAAAGAAAACACTCAGGGATTGTGTGTGTCTGCGTGTGTGTGTGTGTAAATTAAAGAGTTGGTTTAAAATGTTCACTCAAATTGTTTGGCTTAGAAGATGTCTTTAAAATATATTAAATAACCCAAATATTTTTCTGATAACCTCTAGGATGAAAAGTATATTCAGATAAGAAGATGAAAGTCTGTTCAAACAAAAATAAAATGCTAAAGTACGCAAGACATCATCTAAGAGGCCATAGAAAATGAAAAAACTGTGTATAATTTCCAAGATGCTTTACATCAAAATAAGCTTATGTTCGAATTCCATTTTTCTAATTTTTTTGAGGCATCCTGGTACTTCACCCAAACCATGTTTGTGTGTCATTAACACAGAGAGGGAGCTGCCTCCCCAGGAGCAGCACAGCAGCCTAGCTCCAAGTGCGAGTCCAGAAGGATGATGTTCCTCACCCCACTGTGCGTTCTGCACTCATGTGGCGGCGTGAGAAATCTTCCTACACCAGGCTCAGGGAAAACACACTCCATTCTGTATGCTACAAAACCGCATTGTTAAAACACTTCCTTTACCGTACCTTCCAACACCACATCGTTGCCAGTCTTCTTTTTCACTAAATCCCTGCTGACCAGTGAGTACTGCTGTTCACACCCCTCCCCAGTCCTGCCCCACCAGGACGGAACTAGATTGTATGCACCTCACCTAGCACACAAGTCCTTCTGGAACAGAAATAGGCACCCATCCTTGAGGGCTTAGAGAACACTAAGGCAATACACAAGTCTCCAGGAAGTAGCATGTCCCCAGTCCTATGTTTCTAATTATCTAGGATGTCCGTCTGATGAACTTTTGGTAGATTGGGATAGTGACTGAGAGTGCAAAGCAACGAGGGAGGAAATCTTCAAGGTCATCCCTAGTCCTGGAATCTCAGGTGTCCCTGTCCCCAGCATAGATTATGGTACAATGATAGGCCAGGGAAGAAAACTATAACATTTAACCTTAGGAGAAAAAATTATTAAAATTAAAACGTTTCATTTTAGTAAAAAGATGTAAATGAAGTCTGCCTTTCTCACACACAGGACCAGTGGAGGAGACTATTCTAAAGAGGACATAATCATGAAAATAGCTATTTTCCTTAAAACTTCCTCAGAGCTCTCCTATCCGCTGTTTAATGGGACTTGTAACCTGGAGCAGGTCTCCAGGCCCAGAAGGCATCTCGTGTTAGTCTGTTTTTACTTGGCCAATCTGAACTATTCTAATTATAAGAAAAACATCTTAGATAGACAAGCGAACTGTTATATAGAAAAGGAAATTTCTCTCTCTCTCTCTCTGTGCTCACGTGTGTTTGTGTCCGCACACTTTAACCAGAAAGAGCATTTAGGGTGACTATTTAAATTCTGGCCTCAGAAGACAAAAATGGAGTGAACAGCATGTCCAGATCTGAATTCTCCTCACTCGTGTTTCTCTTCCCATTTTATGGAACTATTTAGCCAACATAACTGATGGTTAGAAAATATTATATTTAGAACAGTTGCCAGGTAATTTAATCTCGCATCATTTCCTTCCATTCCTAAGTACCCTGAAAAGAAAGGCCCATTTAATTACCTGTTCCTCTGAGCTAACTTTACTTTCTTCTGATGACACACTGTCCTGAAAAGAAAAAAAAAAAAGTTTGTTTTTCCTTTTAGCATTTCCTCAGGAAAGAAAACACTAGGGCTCGTGGTTTGGATTTACTACATTGAAAAATGGCAGGTGATGAGAAGAAAATTGAAACTACATCTCGAGGTATGGGTGACAGAAGTAAAGGCAAGTTACCAGGGGTGTTGGTGTTGGTGGTGGTGGAGTCAATGGGTCCTGAAAAAAAAAAAAGGAAATAAAGCACGTTACTCCTGCACAGACTGGTTTTGTCTTTGCAAATATTAAGAACAATTTTAGGATTTTTTTTAGTTCCTTGCTATACATTTTACATTTTCATGAGTAATAAACTTCCACAGAAAGATGGCTGACAAATGAAGGTATGACAAACAACAAATGCAAAGCTCTTGAGATAGACAAGATGCAGCATATTTTTACATTTTTGATATTTTAATTTAAAAAAGGACTTTATTTGCAATTGCTCATTCAACCTAGAGAAAACTTAAAACAAACAAAAGAAAAGGAGCATTGGCACTTGACACAAGAGTTAGGTCTCAATTAACTTGTTGGCTTAAATTTTAGACTTAAAACTATTTTAGTTGTTAACATTAAAAATTAGCTCATATCTCCAAGGGCAGTGTTGAGGCATAGTAAATTAACCCATCGCCTGAAACTCCAGCAACTCGTATCAGAGCCCCAGTTTGAGTCCCTGCTAGCCCCTGTTCATGGTCCTGGGAAAGCATCATAAAATGTGCCACGTGCCGTGTGGAAGACCTGAAAAGAGTTAGTGGCTCCTGCCTTCGGCCTGGCCCTGACTGTCACAGCCATTTGGGAAGCAAACAGATGAGAGATCTCTTTTTTCATTCTCACCACCCCCAGCCCTGTCTTTCAAATAGATAAGATTGGAAAATAAAATAAATAAAAATAAAAATTATGTCTTTAAGGAAATCCCTAAATCTTAGATAAAATGGGATTTTATTTATTCCGTATGAATGTGATTGCAGTTTACTTCAGCTTTCTGATCTTCAGTTTCTTATTCATAAGCTAAAAAAATTAACACTCATGATGCTTACCCTACAAGGATGCTAGGAGGGGGGAATCATCTAACATCTATGGGAACATCTGGAGAACTATTTAATGTGATAGAAACTAAAGAAATGCTCCATTCTGTCAATATCCACCTCATAACATTCAGAGTGGATAAAACTGACTTAAGAAAGCCATTATCTTAAATCACATATGAACACTGATACTACAAACAACTGTTTGATCTGAAATTTCACTAGCGTAGTTACAACTCTAATTTATTTCGCACTCTTTAGTCAAAGTAAAAACTCTTAGGATAGCTGAGTAACCTGGGGTGCCCCATCTTACCTCTTCTTCCCCTTCCTCTTGAGCATGGTAAGATCCTCTGGGGAACTCCCAAAGTGCAGGGCAGAGTCAGGAGCAGCTGCTGCTGGCAAGTCCTCAACATGCCTTTAAGCAGGGCTGGGCTAGGGATGGTTCCTCAGAGGGAGGATCTGTAATCACGTACACCTTTGCCCTGTGATATTGCAGGGAGGTGCCCTGGCAGATTCTTCCCAGTTAGTTATTTGGAATTAACAGGTGGCAGAGTGCAAGACATTGGTGCTTTCCTCTGACCACAGATAACATTGAGAACAAACAACGTTTGTGAGATGTGGGTCAAATGAGAGGTGACTCTCCAGGGACGGCTTTTTAATTAACCAGCTTGTGGATTTCTCTAATGGAAGTTCTGCCATGAATATTTCTAACTCACACAGGGGAAGGAATACACACAAACGCCTAAATTTATCTGACTACCCCCAAGAGCACTGGACACAAACTCCAGCACATGCAAAATCCAGTGAGAAGCAAAGCAACAAACAAGTACTCTGACTTAACAGCACCTTTTAACTTGTTCTCAGTGGAAATCCAGAGTATTTGGGTGACTTTCCTTAACCCAACTCCTTCCCGAGAGAGACATGGACACTGACTGAGAACATGCATCCTGAGGTCAGAGTGACAGAAATTCAATTCTGACTCTGATATCTTCTAACCGTATGTCCTAAACAAGCCAGGTAACCCTTTGTGAAGTTTTCTCATGTGTAAATGCATCTGATTCACTGGGTTCTTGTGGAGATAGGAAAGTTAGGACATGTAAAGTAGACTGAACCATGGCTGGCAAAGCTTGTGAACTACTGCGCCTGGACAACTAGTGTGCATCAAAACTCAGTGAAGAATAACTGTCATCCCAAAGATTATAGTGTCCTTTCGTTCTTTTTTTCTGTCCTCTTTATTGGGATTTAACCTCCTGTTTACTGGTTAAAACTAATCTTGAACCCCTCATCTTCACAAGCAGTCATGGTCTACTCTGATGTACCATACACACCTACAAGAATAAAGCTTAAAAAATGCTTCCACACCAAACTATATGACTAAGTTTGAACTGAAGCAATTCTTTTCTTCTATGAACTAGTTATTACAGCTCTTACTGTCTATGGCTCAGACTTAAGACCTTATTTTATAATGGAATCAGTTTGACTATTATAATAGTATGTTAACATCAAAATATTCCAAAGTAGTATTACTACTCACCTTCCATTCTTCAGAGCTCTCAGTTTTGGTGTTTTGATACTTGGCGACCTAGTAAATACAACACACAAGATCAAGTCACCAAGAAATTTCCAGGTCAGTAGTTAGTAGCACTTTCCATTCTTAAAGAGTGATGGTAGTCAACGTTAAAGCCGCACCTGACTTGCCTGCAAACCTTGTTAAACACAGATTGCTAAGCAGTTCCTTAAGAAGACTGGCTTGCGAGGACCTGAGAATTTACATTTCTAACCAAGTCCTTCTTGATGCTGACACTGATGGTCTGGGATGACATTTTGAGAACTACCACCTCAAGTCAACACTATAGGTGTATGAATAGCAAATGAACAAAATCAGGAATAACCTGACTGGTATTTTAAAGAAACAGCTTCCTAACAAACTACTATTTTCATGTGATGGAGACATATGCTGCCACTTGAGTCCACACCAATAAACACTATGGAGTTTTTGTGTGAAGGGGCCCCACTACCTGTCCAACCGTGATACTTACTGGGAGAGCACAGCATAGCCCCCATAGGAACATGAACAGAATGCTGAGCTTCATGGTCTTCATGGCCAAACAGGATGCTCTGTCTGTAATGAAGAACACAGATGTTTTCCTCTATTATTTAAAGAAAAGTGCTTTCAATCTCTTAGCATTTTCTTCCTATTAAACTGCATCTTATTTAAGTATCCATCAATTGATGACAACTAAACCAATAAAACTTTATTAATTTAATGGAGTTATTTTCAGCCAGAAGAAGGATGAAGTGCTGTTGCATATGACAAAGTAGAGGAAACTTGCGAACATGATGTCAAGAGAATAAAGTCAGACAAAATACTGCATCTGTTTACTGTCATTTATACGAAATGTACAGAACAGACAAATGTATAGAGGCAGACAGTAGTAGATGAGTGGTTGTCCCAGGCTTGGGAGGATGAGGGCTTGAGAGGAAACGGCTGTGGGGAGCAAGGTTGCTTGTCAAGTTAATGAGAATGTTCTAAAATTGATTGTAGTGATGGCTGTGAAACTCTGTGATTGAATGAAAACCCAACTACACAGTTCAAATGACTGAAATGTATGGTGGATAAATTATATCTCAAGTTGTTTAATTAAAAAAGCTTCACTCCTAACAGGTGAATTGAAAACTTTTCAAAGAAGGTATCCTAAAGCATTTCTTTATGCATACAAATTATATGTATAGGAAAAAGTGAAGAAGAGGAATTGAGAATTTCTGGCTGTTCACTTCCCCAATAATTATGTAGTTTGGCAAGGCAGAGCAGCCTAATAAACATATTCATCCTAAAAATGCACACTTTCTGACACCACTGTTAGCTGGACTGAGCATTTTACTCTCTCTCTCTCTCTCTCTCACACACACACACACGAGAGATTACTAAGCACATGTATAACCCTATAATAATGTCTAGACAAAATAGACTGCTTTTTTTTTCTTGATGTGTAATGGTTACACTTTGACAGTCTTCCTATAGGCTCCAGAAAGCTTTAACACCTAGCTTGAGCCATTTACTTAGACATTATGCATCGTTATGTTAGATTCTTTTAGTGACATTCACAGCCCTAAGGACTCAGGAAAGAAGAGAGATTTGAAATACCTTGTGAGTTGTGAGTTGTGCTCACAGCGACACAACAGGTCAATCTTTTTTTTTTTTTTTTTTTTTGAGGCTGGCTTCATTTCACACATAAGAACTGGAGACTTAGCAAACAATTTGTTCCACATCCAAACATAGATATAGATATGTTGAATGTCGATATTAGAAACTTAATGAAATGTTTCAAGCAAAACAATGGTCCCTTGAAGCTGGCCTAATGTAATTTGTTGGACCAAATGCCACAGACTTGGTGGTTTGCAAGAAATTCTGCCAGTTTAGTTCAGAGTTCACTTTTATTGCCGTTGTTGGTGTCAATATATCCCAATACCAGTAGCAAGAGACGTAGCCAAAGAACCTTAATTCTGGCTGTATATCAGCACTCTCTGGAAAAATTGTAAAAAATGCCAGTGCTTAAAATCCATGAGCAACAGATGGTTCACTTGGCATAGGTGTGGATTCCTTTTCAAGTTTCCCCCCAAGTGATTTTAACCCTTGATCTAAGACATAGGGCTATGTAACTCAATAATACCTGACTATTATAAGCAATATCTGAAGCATTGGGCCCAAGAATTCATCTAATGTTATCTTTAAAATTTGTTCAGGAAAATGGTAGTAATTTTAAAATAACACACTGCAAGTGTTCCTCATTTTGACTTTAATATAGATGAAAGTTAATGTGATGATCCCCCCACAGCATAGCTCCTTTTCATCTGCATTGCTTTCTTTGTTCTAGTTCAAAGTGGCACATCTCACTCCTTATATTTTGACATTATTTTAATTTCATTTTTTCAAATCTCAGCCCAATGTCAATAAAGAAAGGGAAAAGAAAACTCTTGCTTGCGCCTAAAATAAGTCTCATTCAACATAGATTACTCCCCCTTAGTTTTCACAATCAAAACATTTTAAAAGTACTTTTGGAAAACACAATTTTCCAAATTTTTTGAGATTTTCAAAACAACTGCATGCTGAAATTTTCAACTTTGCAAGTCAAATGAAAATAAGACATCCCATAATTTTAATTTCCAAGTGGAAATTTGACTAGGATAACAATCTCAGGATATTCTGAAACTAGCAAATAAAAGGGCAAATAAAAGGGCAAATAAAAGGTCAGTGACTAACGATCTTGCCTTTATATATATTCAGATTACCTTCTAAATAAAAATTGAAGAATGCTATTGTGAATTTCTTCTGCGCCCATGAATATTCTGTCTTGTTTTGTTTACCAAAAACAGTGTATGCTTCTGTGTGCAAATTTCTTAAGAATGGGATATTACAAAACACAAAAAGATACATCAACTTGCTTGGGATTCTCAAAATTTTATTTAGTATCTCAACCCAAAGTGATCCTTTCACAAATGCAAGTCTGACCAATGAAAACAGGACATCCTAGAGTCCAGGGAGAGCTCATCTGTCTTCTGGAGAATATTTTCCATCCTTAAGCATTAAAGAAAGCCAGACTCAGACCTTTGATCAGACTTTTTACTATTACTGTTGATAAGAGTGATTATACTCTGTGAGGTACTTTCCAAAATGAAAGTGCCAGACTTCCATTAACGTTAGCTGATATCCTAAAAGGATAGAAGTCTATATGCAGGAGCCCTGTTCTGAGTAATGAATTCAAACTGCCCACAAATCCAAAATGAGGAGTCCAGAAACCCCAGTGTTCTTTGGGGGTTGGTGTGTTTGTCTGCTATGTGAATGACAGCTTGCAACAAAGGGAATTAACCTTGATTGGAGTCCTGTCTGTTTGGAAAGCAATGTGTTGGAGAGTTCCTGGCTTTCTGAATTGTTTTCCCAGAGTTGAAAAGATACAAGTGGTTAGGATCTGTAGAAAGAAATAATGGTCTGGATTTTAAGTATAGCCAAATAACTTCTCTGAGTTCTAAAGCATGGAGGCTTGTTCTTCAATTTCCTTAAAGTTCATGATATACTTGTAAAGTAGAGAGAGCTACTTCGAAAAGTTGGTGGGAAATTGGGTTTTTAAATATGCTAATTTTGGTTGCAAAAAACATTGAAATCCATCCATAGTTTTCACAAATTCCAAAAACATTTAAAAGATTCTTGTAAGTATGTATTTCAAAACCTTTTGCATGAAAACCAACCCATCTTTTGATTCCATTTTTACAGATTGTTTGCAGTGTCCTTTTTCTATCATTTTACATAAATGAAAATTAAAGAAATGTGGCAAATTCAGAAAAATACGTGTTAAGAATCATAGGTTCGGGAGTCTCCCTCATCTTTCGAGAGGCACCCCACCTCACAGCTTCCTTTCTGGAGGTGCTTTCCCCTTCCCTGCTCACCTGGTCCCTTTGCAAATACACTTTTTTGTCTGCAAATAAATAAATAAGTAAATAATTTTAAAATCACAGGTTCTTTTTTTCTTGGAAAACAATTTATCATGCTAATTTGCTTATTTTTCTTAGCATTGTTATGATCAAGAATACTAATAAAAATGTATCATTCATTAGCAATTGACAACCATATACTGAAAACATATAATGTTATACACGGTGCTCTAGGTGCTGAGTGCATAGCAATGCCTGACAAAAATCATTATGATAAGCTTATTTGGAAAAAAAAAGTAACATTACCCAAAATTCACATAACTAGAAGTTGTTAGAATGTGGAAAATAAAATGAAATATGGCTTGGACGTATACTCTTACCAGGGACTCAGACAGCATTATAAATGAATCAATAAGATTTCTCAATCATTCCTATTGAAATTGTCCTGAATCTGACATTGTGTGCCTTCAATCAAAAGGAAAGAATTCTAAGTGCCCCAAATTAAATGTGGGGTAGGAAGGCCTCTAAGCATATTGGGTATATTGGTCTACAACACCATTTAGAGGTAGGCAAGTGGACTCATGGTCTTTAGAAAATTGCCTGTTTGTATGTTTTTAACAAACAAACAAGAAAATATAATCTGTTGAACCTTAGCTGAACAGAAAATTCAGTTAACCCAGAGTTATTGCTCCTAAATAAGATAGGTTGCTTAAAGTGTTGCTGTGACACATGGAATCTGCTAGACCACGTGTAGAATACATGACTTTATTACAGCTACTACTTTGTTGGGAAAGACAGCCTCCTGTGTGAGGAAGTAGAACAAATGAAGCAATTAAAATCACCTCTATGCTCAGATGGGGACTGTTTGAGCAGACTTTAAAACTCTCAAGGAAAGTACACCTACTCTTTTTAATCTCATTGTTCCACAAGCTTTAGCAAGTACCCTCTAGGGCACTAAAACTTTTGAAAATCACCTGTTGTTTTCCAATAATACCCTCCTCTGAAGGGTTGTCACATACACCATGAACACTTAGGTCTTCCATTCTAGAAAATGTTTGTAAAGTAAGTGTTTGCAGTGGGTGTTTGGTGTAGTAGTGAAGCCAAGACTCGGATGCTCACATCCCCTAGCACAGTGTCTGCGTTCAAGTCCTGCCTCTGCTTCCATTCAGCTTCCTGCTAATGCATTCCCTGGAAAGCAGCAGGTGATGGCTCTACTCCCTACATCCCTGTCACCCACATAGGAGACCTACTTTGAATTCTGGGTTCCTAACTTGAGTCAGGCTCATGCCTCGTTGTTTTGGTCATTTGAAGAGTGGACCACCTGAGGGAAATTTGTCTGTGTATCTGTCGCTCTTTTTCTCTCCTGTCTCTCTGCCTTTCAAAATGAGGAAAAATACCTTTCAAAAATTGTATTTTTGTATTCAGTTGTGTCCTACATACACCAAAATTTGACCATAGGCAATGTATCACACTAACACAAATATGCAACAATACAAACACAGTGCAGTCACTACTGTCTTGTTTTTCTTTCAGTGGTCTTAGCATCATCTTTCAGTTACTTATTCAGTTCATGATAAAGATTTATTGATTCTCTCTAAATGAATAACCTTAAATATATTCTCAATCAAAGGATCACATTCTGAAAGTCCTGCTGGTCTAGTGTAAA